AGCAGATGCTTTTATCCAAAGCGACTTACAAATGAGGACAATAGAAGCAATCAAAACCAACAAAAGGACAATAATATGTAAGTGCTGTAAAGTGCTGTGAAGTCTCGGTTAGCCTAACGCAGTACATGTAGCAAGGGTTTTTTATAATAAATAAAAAGGAAAAACAAGTAGGTAGAATAGAAAACGAATAGGGAACGCTAGTGTTAGAGGGTCTTTTTTTTAAATAAAAATAAAACAAGTAAAAAGAATAGAAAATGCTAGTGTTAGAGGGTCATTTTTTTATAATAAATACAAAGAAAACAAGAAGAATATTAATATTATATATTATATTAATTTTGATTTTTGATAATGTTTTTTGTTAATATTCTGAATTATAGTTTATATTTTAGTTAACATTTTTGTTATTTTGTTGTGTATTTTGGTATTTTTATTAGTTTTTAATATGTCTATATAGTTTTTATTATTATGTTATTATTTTATTTATTATTCAATAAATAGTTTAGTTTTAGTACTTCAACGAAAACTAAAGGAATATGGGCAATAAATAAAAAAGCATTTAATAGTAAATACATTCCCCTTAAATAATTAAATTGAAATAGTAATGCTAAAGACAATATATTAAAAATAATACAACATCTTATATTAAATTAGACTCTTTCTTTGAGTGAGAGGCATGTGAGGTCATTTGTAAGTAGTTTGCCTCTAAAACACAGTTTTTTGACATTTTGTACCTTCTCCGAATCATCCCAGAGTTAGTCTACAAGCTTGGGTTTTGAAAGCTTGTGTAGCCAGAAGCATCTGCATTCATATTTTGCTCTGTTTTGAGAAATAACGTGTAAGTTTCAAAACAGAACTGGGATGCCTGACGTCTTAAATTCAGTGCTGCTTCATTTTTGGCATGTCAACAATTTCTTGTTAGACCCTCAGCCCTCTTTCTTCTGTCTGGAAGGGCCATCTAGATCTTTTCTTCTCTTTGAAGAGCTGGTATAGTTCAACAGATCATTGACCTCTTGGCTGCAATCCTCATGTGACCCTGACATCTGTTAATGCCATTGGTTTCGGGAAAATTATGTTTGGATGCCTTTCTGCTTCATTTGAATGCATTTATTGACTCAAATGAACTTCCATGCAAGTCTAGGCTGGTTTATTCGTTTTTTTTTTTTTTTGCTGATTTAGCTGGTGGATCAGTGTAGCTGTGCTTTTCAGTAGCAAAAGTTAAGTAGCGAAGTTGGTGGACCAGCATGGGTCTTTCAGGTGAAGCTAATTGAAAAAGAAAGCCTTGCTGGTTAAGCTAGTTAAGAAGCCTGGTGGGACACCAGCAAACCAGCATCCCATGCTGACCACCTGCATCCAAAACACAACATGTGCTGGTGAGCAGCTGTGTAGCTGTTTTGATCAGAGAGAAGCAGACCAGATGAATCTCTGGGAAGCAGTTTTGGGATTCCTGTGTCTTGGTAATGAGTTTCAGGGTTTTTTTGGGTGGGTCACGAGATCTATTTTGGGAACACTTTAGACTCTTCTGCCTCCAGATGTTGTTTGTGTGTTTGTTTATGTTTTCAAAGACAACATCTCCTTGACAACCTATCACATGATGTGGTTAGGGGTGTGGTCATGGCTGAAGAAGAAGCTACTATCAAGCTACGGTATATGTTTGATTTGTAAAAATGTCATTGACTGTTGAAGGAACATAAAGGGCTGTAGCTAATTGCATTTTCTATAAATATGGAATGGATGGTTACTTGGGACTGTTGGTTACATTTGCAATACTCAAAACATAAATCCTGTTTCTCTCGACTTAAAGATTAATAAGACTTAATTTAATAATTAATTAATATAATAAGACTTAAAATTTCAAACATGTGAATCCATTTCTTCATGGGGGGCAAATTTGCCTCAAGGGCCAATAAGTTCTGTCATATTTCTTTCTTTTCGCCTAGGACAAGACTAAAAACCAGAGGTGACCATGCTTTTTCTGTTGTTGGCCCAAAATTATGGAATAGTCTCCCATCTCACATTAGAACTGCCCCGACCTTGTCTGTTCCTAAGTCCACTCTTAAGACCTATTTATTTTCTCTGGTGTTTAATATTCCTTGAGTGTTGCTAAGCACTTTGGTCAACTTCGGTTGTTTTTAAATTGTGCTATACAAATAAAATTGTATTGTATTGTATTGTATTGTACATACATGCAGAATCTAGAAATTGCTCTGGGAGCAATGGGTAAGAAATATGAATGGACAGGTATTAGTGGCAATATTATAGATGAAAATCAACTACTAGATATTTCATCTGCTTTTTTACAGTCGCTTTATTATGCTGCCGCTAACTGCTGCTTAAAGCTATAGATTTTTTTTTCTCACATTTAATTGCAGGTAAGTTTTCAAAGAAGAGGATAGACTACAAAATTAATTTTATTATATCCAGCCAGTTTCCATACAGAGAGGGAGGGCGGGAGGGAGTGGGAGACAAACAGAGAAATTCCTCCAGGGCCCCCCTCCCCTGTGGTTTGTTATGTGCACAATCTGAAGAATGCATATGTATGGGCTTCTGCCAAACCCACAAGCCCAACTCCCTTACAATGGTCTATCTAATAATACCACTTGATTTATAACCTCGGAGAGCTCTTCCACTCTGATGTCACAGGAAGTCCCGCCTCCTGTCAGAGGATGTTTGGATCTATGCACTCTATCTCCACCCCCAGCCCATTGGTCAACACAGACAGGTACTGCCTGTCTGTCAGTCAACCAACCACAGCAATCAATAGAGATGCACAATATATCGGTACCATGTCAGTAACCAGTTGATATTGGGTATTTAATTGTACATGTCAATTTTTCCCAATTTCATATTTAGATTACATTTGCTGTCATCTAATGTTCATTAAATCATTAAATACTCTTTTAATTTAATAATGCTGTGAAATGTAATCTTCACTTGTAATTCACTTGTAGTATTTAAAATGACTGATTTTAGCTTGTATTTGCTCATTTAAATATATATATATATATATATATATATATTATACAGTATATACAGTATATATAGACAGAGAGAGAGAGAGTGAGAGAGAATTTTTTTTCATAAAAATAAATATAAAAAAATTATACTTTTATTTTACTTTTAATTTTATTCAGCAGGGACACACTGGATTGATCAAAAGTGACATTAAAGACATTTATAAAATGACAAAAAAAATTATTTCAAATAAATGCTGTTCATTTTAAGCATCTATTTTTTACAAAATCTTGAAAAAAAATTGATCGTAGTTTCCACTAAAATATTAAGCAGCACAACTGTTTTCAACATTGATAATAATTGTAAAAAGTATAATGGGACTTTGAAGACTGGAGTAATGGCTGCTGAAAAATCAGCTTTGCCATCGCAGGAATAAATTACTTTTTATAGAAATCAGTTCCTTAAACTGTAATAATATTTCACATTATTATATTAGTATTTTTGATCATATAAATGCAGAGCATAAGAGACTTCTTTCAAAAAAAAAAGAAAGAAATTGTATATAAATTTATATTATAAAAATCTTAAAATCTTAATTATATGTATATAATACTTATACATATATATATATATATGATATAATGATATAAAATTACTAATATATATTAATAATTTTTGACTAGTTAATAGTATCGGTCAAATTTTTAATATTACTGCATTCCTAGAGGTCAATCAAAACCTCTCCCACCCAATTGAAGTAAATGCTGGCTTTTCAGTAACAACAGGCTACATGTGTGGTCTATTGTGTATCTAGTCTATATTTGACAATGTATAAACACATGGTGGGGTGTGTTTGTCTATGCACAGGATATGTAAGCTAACTCTGTGCTGTTTTCTCTTCTCTGTGCAGTCCCACCCTTGCTCATTCCTGGTTAGAGGGTGGATCCAGCACCCCCTTGAGTCACTACACCCCTCAGCCCTCCCCACCCCTCACCCTCTCGGCCCCAAACTGCCACAGCTCCCCTCGCGGAGCACCCCACGGCCTGTCCTCCTCTCTGGATGTCGAGGGACTGGAGAGCAGCCTTCTGGAGGCGGTGGAGGGTCTTGAGGCTATGGGTCTGGATGTGGCTCGGCCTCCCCTTCTGCCCCTGAAGAGACGAGGGACTGAAGGCTCAGAGACCATGTTCCCGCTCAGCACAGCAGTCAGCACATCCTTTGCCAGTCACAACACCTCACCTACCAGATCTACACCAAGTCCAGGTTTGTAGCCTGTCTGTCTGTAAGCACGCACACACAACTAGATTAAAACGTTACATGGTAATGTGATATTATTCTTATTTGCAGATTTCATGGCCAGTAAACCAGAAAATGTGAAGTTCGTTCAGGATACGTCAAAGTTTTGGTACAAGCCAGATATCTCAAGAGAGCAAGGTAATAATATTAGATCCTCAATAGGCCTTAGTTGAATTTGGAGTCGTGTTAAATATGACTATGGCTGTGAGGGATATACAGTATCGCTCAAATGTTTGGGGTAGGTAAGATTTTTTAAATGTTTTTGAAAGGATTCTTGTTATTCCTGTGATGGCAAAGCTGTATTTTCAGCTGCCATTACTCAAGTCTTCAGTGTCACATGATCCTTCAGAAATCATTCTAATATGCTGAATTGCTGTTCAAGAAATATTTATTATGATTATCAATGTTGAAAACAGTTGTGCTGATCAATATTTTTGTGGGAACTGTGATTCATTTTTCAGGATTCTTTAATGAATAGAAACTTCCAAATATTTATTTGAAATAGACATTATAAAAGTCTTTGCTGTCACTTTTAATATGTTCTTGTTGAATTAATGTATTAATTTCTTTAAAAAAAAAACTTACTTCTTTCCCTCACAGCCTTGTTTTTTCACTTACCACTTTTTTAAGCAGACTGAAAGTAGTTCAGCTGTTTTCAATCATATTAAGCAATGGAAACTCTTTTTAAACTCCTTTTACTGAATGAATTTGTTCAGATTTATATTAAGCAGTTAAAAAGCATTCACCAGTTTATCTGACTCCTTGCACAGATGCCAGTGTAAATAAATGCATAAATGCAAAAATAAATGCATTTTACATCATCTTTTTGTAGCAGCATTCTATATATTATTGATTGTGTACAAAAATATTATTTTTGACTGTACTTTTGACAGCAAATACTGCTTGTCATAAATATGGCTTCTGTGAAAGTTTTCTGTTTATTGGTGGTTTATAATGTAAATTGATCAGTTGATTGTTCTCAAAATGGCTTCCATTACTCCATCACTGTCTATCCCGGCTATAAGGTTTATAAGCATTAATTCCTCTTTGCTTCTTTAATTAAGATGACAGCAGAATGCATCTGTGTATGTATATATATATATATATATATATATATACATACATTTATTTTATTTTATTTTTTCTTCTTTTATTTGTTGTAGCTATTGCCGTTCTCAAGGATAAAGAGCCGGGCTCCTTCATCATCAGAGACAGTCACTCATTCAGAGGAGCTTACGGATTGGCCATGAAGGTGGCCACGCCCCCACCTTCCGTTCTACAGCAAAGCCGAAAAAGTAAGAGAATGCTACATACATAGTACTTTTTATGACAGCTCTCACATTTCCACTCACTTGAGCTGAACGATGACGCAATGCCTGTAAACTATTCGAGTTTTGAAAACATATTTCGTGTGATTTAAAAAGTACTTTGTGTGGAAAATAGCCGAGCCCGGTTCCAGATTTGAGACCAATGGTTTGTAATGGCCAGCACTTTGTCTGTTTAAAATGAACTGTCCACAGAGTCTAAATGTACAGGGCAATTCCTTGAATGAACTGCAGTGAAATATTTGATGGGGTTTAAGACCCTGGAGAGCAGGATGTCCCAACACTATTGTGTGAGGAACAGCTGAATGAGTGTGAACACAGCTGGAGCATTCATATCCAGAGCCCCTCCGTAAACACAGTGTGTCTCTCAATCAGAGGAAGGAAGGGAGGCACACAAACACACACACACTGTCCATATCCTTCTGATGCACAATTCTAGATGGTTCCTTAACAGGGGGTTACACACAGACAGTATTATGCTGTTTTTTTTGTTTTTGTTTCTTTTACTATTTTTTCTGTATCATGGTAAATTAAATTTAGCTTTATCTTTTGAGATAAGAGTTCATTGTGTGAAAACATACTCTGAGTCTATTTTCTTTTTTTTTTTACTTTATTTTTATGAACTTCCACACAATAACAGTCAAACAACACTCCTTCATGGGCACATACATAAATATTTTTCCCAAAGTATTCTGAGTCTATTTTCAACATCAGATGTGCGTGGTATTCAGAAACTTGGCCTGGCCAGTCAGGGTGAGGCATTAAGGAGGAAGTAGGATACATGCTGTTGTTCCTAAATGCCAGATGAACTAATGATTAGAGTAAAATGCAGGAAAGTCCTTTCAAAATCAGGATCTCAAAACAAGCAGCTGAAATGCTCTTTATAACAACATCCCTGATAATTTCAGAGCTACTTTCATAGTTTGTACGGAACATTTCAGTGCAGGTTGTTTTGTTCTCCTTCCGGTGAGGTTGTTATTGAAGCAGTTAAATATATATTGTACTTATTAAACCCATATCACAGCGCTATTTCTCATTTCACATATGAAGAGAGTAAAGCACAGCAACAAAAAATAGTCCGATTAATTCTAGCGTCAGTCAAAGGATGGAAAATGCTTATAAGAATTCTAAATTATGAATGTATTACCACAAAAATTACCAGTGAGCTTTCAATAAGTAAACAAACAAATAATAATAACAATATGGTAAAATTCCCAAGGAGAAATAACAGTATAAACAAATAAGATGATTTTCAACGAGACAATGTGAGTACTGAGCTAAAAAGTTGCTTTGTGCAGACCATTGAAGTCTCTAACTTTTGCTTACAGACATTGGTGTCTTGGGAAATCCAAACACAGTTGGAGACAATGTTGAGATCTCTTCTGAAACTATAGGAGCCACAAGTGAGATTACTGAATTCTCGGTAGAAAAATCTGAGCTGGATTTTTGCTCTTAATCACATTGTGGTTCAGGAGAAACAATCGAAATATCATATTGATTTTTTGTTCATGATTTTTTCTTCCTTTTGATTCTATCGTCTATATATAAATGGGTCTTTCCAAATTTGGTCAACACCTCTGCATCCATTTCGTCTTGATACTACATATGTGTTATCATTGCTTTGGTAATTAAAAATAATTTCCTGTGTCTGTGCACAGTGGGCGATCTGTCCAATGAGCTTGTGCGGCATTTCTTGATCGAGTGCACACCTAAAGGAGTGCGGTTAAAAGGCTGCCCCAACGAACCTTATTTCGGTAAGTATCTGTTAAGGTCCATGTGAATGTTAAAGTAAGTTTTGCCTCTTTGTCGCCATCTCTGTTTGAAAACCTGGAATTGCAGCTGTGTGTGGAATTATCTAGCTCGCGTGGGTTGTGAGTCGGCACGGCTCCAGCGCGGATGAATCTAATGTTCTGAAGAGTATGTGTGTGTGGCAGTCAGTCACCGCACCGGTGTAGATATTTACTGTACTTCGCAATCAGACGTGACGTAATGACGCAGCAGCATGCTCGAATTTCCCGCGAAAACCTACCCGTACCACTCAAATTAGAAAACATTATTATAAGCTAACCTTTGTGAATCGGGCTAAAGTAAGGCGATAGTTTCGAACACTGGCTGGTTATGTACTTGCTCAAATATTGATTTCGTAACATTTTTAACGAAAAAAAGTTACGGACTGCAGCTTTAATGAAGACATGAGTGCTGGTTAGAGCCTCATCATTGCATGGTCAGGATCTCCCTCTAGTGGCTGTAATCAGGAGCATCATACAACTAGTTGTTTCCCTTTTCTTTTCACTTACTCGAAAGTTTGGGGTCACCCATTTTTTTTATAAAGAAATCAATACCTTTATTCAACAAGGATGCATTCAATTGATCAAAAGTGACATTTATATTGTTGGAAAAGATTATTTTGAACTTTCTGTGCATCAAAGAATGCTGAAAAAATGATTAAAAGAAATATTAAGCAGCACAAATGACTGTTTTCAGCATTGATGATGATAAAAAATATTTATTCAGCACTAAATCAGTGTATTTCAATGATATTTGGAGGATTATGTTACTCTGAATACTGGAGTAATGATGCTGAAAATTCAGCTTTGTCATTGCAGAAATTAATTACATTATAAAATCTATTAAAATAGTAGAGTTATTTTAAATTGTAATAATATTTCACAATATCACTGTTTTTACTGTATTTTGAATCAAATAAATGCATCTACGGTGAGCATATGTTTTAATGTTATTGCTGACTCCAGAATTCTGAACAGTAGTGTATATATTTTTAAATAAGCAAAATTGCAACAGCCATGCATTGTTATTGTATGGAAGATATGGTAAAACATTCAGCTAAACTTAAAAATATTGTTTCCTGTATGTACAGGAAGTCTCACAGCTTTGGTGTGTCAGCATTCAATCACACCCATGGCTTTACCCTGCAGACTCATCATCCCAAAGAGAGGTATGTTATAATATTAGTGTGTGTGTCAGCGTGTGCTTTATGTTTTTAGTGTTTATATGCTAACCGAAGACTTCTTTCAGGCCCTCTTGAGGAATTAAATGAATCTTCATCACAAACATCTACAAACTCTGCAGCAGAGCTACTCAAACAGGGAGCAGGTAAAGGAATATCTGTGTGCATGTTGAACAATATCAGTGATTATTTTATATCATCCATGTGTTAATATGTGTGTGTGTGTGTGTTGTTGCTCAGCGTGTAACGTGTGGTTCCTGGGCAGTGTGGATCTGGAGTCTCTGACAGGAGTTCAGGGTGTTCAGAAGGCCACCACTGTGATTTTCAATATGGATCCACCACCCACATCCACTGTCGTTCACTTTAAAGTGTCTGCACAGGGAATCACCCTCACAGACAACCAGAGGAAGTGAGTCGGTCTCTTTATATTTCTGTTTCTTAAGTTGAATTTATATTTCATATAAAGTATTGAGTTATATTTAGCTGGGTTTAGGGGGAGTTAGTGATAATGTAATGTTATTAATGAAATGGTACATTTATGTTAGTAATCTGTTCTGAGTAATGTTGTAGTGGAAATGTTTCTATTTTAAAACTAATCTTAATGTAAAGTTGTGTAATGAGAATTGTTCAAATGTTTGGGGTCTGTAAGATTTTTTGTAGTGATTCCTGTGATGGCAAAGCTGAATCAACAGTCATTACTCCAGTCTTCAGTGTCACATGATCCTTCAGAAATCACTCTAATATGCTGATTTGATGCTCAAGAAATATTTATGATTATTATCAATGTTGAATACAGCATTATACATTATATTATACAGTATAATACATTATCTCAGCTGAAAACAGTTGTGCTGCTTAATAGTTTTGTAAAAACCATTATACTTTTTATTCAGGGTTCTTTGATAAATAGAAAGTTCAAAAGCAGCATTTATTTGAAATAGATTTTTTTTTAAACATTTTAAGTGTCTTTACGGTTACTTTTGATCAATTTAATGTGTCCTCGGTTAATAAAAGTAATCAAAAAAAAATCCTGTCCCAAACTTTTGAACAGTATAGTCAATTTATACATAAAAACATTCTAGATGCATATACATATAATGCTGTCCTGAGTTTTTATATTACTGTGTGTTTCCAGATTGTTCTTCAGGAGACACTATGCTGTCAACACAGTGATATTCTGTGCCCTGGATCCTCAGGACAGGAAGTACGTAACACACACACACACACAGTGCACCCTTGTTTGACCATTTGTTTGCCTGCTTTTCATTCAAGTCTAGTCCATACAATACATACAATTAATGCAATTTGTCTTAAAGCAGTCTTACATTTTTACATTTGTAAAGAAAAGTTTAACCTTCACCATTTACTTTACTTTACTTTTAATGGGATGTTCTGACTTCTTCACTGCACTGTTCACAGGTGGACACGGGACGGCTGCACAGCTGCAAAGTAAGTCTTCCTTCATCACCTTCTCACTCTGTGCTTGTCACATCCCTGTTTTAATCAGGCTATCTCAGTTCTGATGTAGTGCTAGTGTGTACATTTATTATGTGTGTGTGTGTAACAGGATCTTTGGCTTCATTGCGAGGAAAAGCGGGAGCAGCACAGAGAATGTGTGTCACATGTTTGCCGAACATGACCCCGAGCAGCCGGCCAGCGCCATTGTCAACTTTGTCTCTAAGGTGATGATCGGCTCTCAGAAGACCAAATAGAAAAAACATAAGCAGAGATTCCTGATGAACTGCGACGGGGACCAACTCCACATCCTCAACTTCAAATGTAGAAGAGCCAAACGTATTTACAGTTTTGCTACTGTAATGTGACCGCTTTTACTCACTGATGGTGTTGAAACAGTAAAACGTCAGTATTGGAATGGATGAAACTTTATTTTATGTTGGAATCTCCTTTTTTTTTTTTTTTGGACAAGATACACAGGGACGGTGCTAAATGCCATTGGGACCAGGAACAAATTTTATAGGTGGGCCACCCTTTTCACAAGGCCCAGGACAACATTCCCAATTGTCCCCACTGATGATGGCCAAGAAGATCCATTCCACAGGAAGTCTTTGAAATGTATGCAGCACTCTTGCATCACAGGACACATCCAGAAGGGGGCGCCACACTTCTTCAGCTCATTCTCACGCTGCCATAAACACAGAATGCTCAAAGCAAACTTAAAAGCCTAAGAGGAAAAACAACTAACCATTATTTTATTGTTTTTTTTGTTTGTTTTTTGTGCAGTTTTGTTTGCAGTATTTTCGAGGTCCTTGGTTTTGTTTGGAAATAGAAATGTTGGAGGTGTATATGTAGATTCATTTACATGTTGAGTCTGGGCACATACAGACAAAAGATGCAGACCAAAGACCATTTTGCATATCAATTTGCAAAATTTAAATGTGTTTGATTTTATATGTGTGTATACATTATCAAATGCTACTTTTAACATTTTTTTTAGCTCAAAATATTCAGTTGTTGTTTATCTCTGTATTTGTTTATAAGTGCTGAGCTCACATTTTTTTGTCAATGACAAGTGGTTTCCCTAAAAAGCATATTGGCATTGACTTTGTTTATATATTTGGAAATATTGATCGTATAACTCATATTCTGTGTATACTTATCTCTTACTCATCTATGCGACATGAGAATTAAACCATCTTATTTGATAAATCACCTCATTTGAAGTAAGCATGACATAACTCATGTGAACTCAGTACTTCTGACATTTTTTTTTTTGTTACTGAAAAGAGGCTTTTGCCATAAACGTTTCACTTGGAATTCATCTGAATCAGACATAAACATGCATGTTCCATGACTTTTCTTACTTTAAGAAGCAAGGACCATGTTTTCATCACAAAAGCTATTCTGTACTTTCCTTGTACTGTCTAACGCTTTGGTTTATTTGTAAATGAATGATTTATGGACTGTATACGTGCACAGAATACAATATTAAAGAAACTGTATGGTACTAAATTGAGGCAGCATTTGTCATGTACTGTGCTAAAAGAACATGCTAGCTCCTTAAGGCCGCAAACATGCTAATGCTTGTTATGTTGACTTGTCTTACGAACAGAGATGGTTTTGGACCTACCAATCTCCACCCCCTAGATGTGGATCCAACCACGCCCCCTGGATCTTGTGTTCTGCAGTGAGGGGCTACTGTGCACTTTCGTGGTGTAATGTCGCTTTGACTGTCGGGTAGAAGTCTGCTGTGGAGCTCGCCTCAGTGCGTGCTCGGCAGAAGTGCGCATCGAGGGTGCATAGCGGCTGCAAAGGGGGTGCTCGCGAGCACCCTTCTGAAAGCTAAAATGACGAATGGGACACTATGGTCTCGTGGACTTAACGGACACGCGCACGCGGCGGCCATTGTAAGTCCGCAAGTGCACATGAAGTGTGCCATTTGGGACAGGGCCAGAGTGTGCAGAGGTATGCAAATACATATGTTGACAGACAGGTAGGACGGCCTATCATAATATTCAGACCGAGGGATATGATTGGACTAAACATTTATGGTCCTATGCCTTCCACAGACAATATAAATACATTTAGACCACTTAACTTAGTGATTGCTGTCAGGATGTGAAGACACTTTCAACCAGTATAACAAAAAATGTCTTTGAACTAAATCACCTACCCTGATTGTTCGGCAAAATTTTTCACAAACCGTTGCTTCAACCGTTATGTCCTGGAGAGCACATAACGACATTAAATAGACTAGTCAGGTAAGACGCCATTGAAATTAACGCTGATGAAAACAAGACTGAATAGACTTTACAAGGCCAACCACAACTTTCAAACCTGTTTTATAGAGTTTTTGTCTACTGAAAGTATTTTTCAGAAAGATGTTTAATTTCGTCAGCTGAACAATCGTATGTTGTTAAACAACAGTACAGTCCATTGAATGCACTGTACTTCTGTCCTTCACAGCCTCGTTTTCATTCCTGTCAAAAATTAAATATGACTAGCCTAAGGTCTATACAGATGTGTGTGTTGTCTTGTCTGCTGGAGGAAGTTCTTATATGGCATGATCAGTCACATTACATTTAGAACTGAGATGACTGGCTCAAAAAATCCCCATGAAGCAAAGATGGCAGCATTCAGGTTGTGTACTCCCAGGACTGCATGCTCCAGCTGAGCAACTGCCATTGAGATGAAAGGTAATGCTTACGGCTAGCTATATGCAGGTATGCTACAACTGTTTCGTTTGGATAAACAGGTCGAAACAAAGATTTATTTCTCAGGCAGTAGGGACATTGTATGTGGCATATGATAAGAAAACAATACTATACTTTAGGTGCGGTAGCAAAACCATGGTTAATTTGGTAGTTACTTTGGTTTTACTGTAAATACTTATTAAATTGTCATAATTATTGTTGTAATTACTATAGTTGTACTACAAAAAATAAAGAAATACATAAATAACATCGTTAAACCATGGTAACTAGTAAAACCATGGTTCATTTTGTAGTTACTATAGTTTTACTGCAAATGTTGTAGTAAAACCATGGTTTATTTTGTAGATACTATGGTTTTACTGTTATTGCTGTATTAAAACCATAATTATTGTAAAAACATAGCTGCTATAGTTTTACTACAAAAAATAAAAAGTGTTGAGACGTGCTGAAGTTGCGTTTGGCCTCGTACTCTATCGCATACCTTGTCAGTGTCATGCGCTTGCTTAGCCCTTTGTTGTGATAAACAGTAAAGTGTGTTCAAGCGCTAGCAAAAGACAGTGTAAAGAAATACTCTTTGAGAGAAGCAGTTAATCAGCGGAAGTTAAAAGCAGATAGTAAGTGTATTTATTTCTTGTCTCATTAGTGTTTAGCGCAGTTGTCGTTGCTAGGAAACGCTTGTTT